CCGGGTTTAACTTTCAAACTGTGCCAAAACTTAACATTCTTGTTCATTTTCTGGCCTTTTTTTTGGCGGGGGATCATTGGGACCCGATGAAAGTTATTACAGGTCAGTTTTCTTAAACTAAGTTTCACTAACCTAGTTTGACCATCGCTTCTGACATCTCGTTGTAGAGACGAAGGTCTCATTCCACTGTGTAATGTTATAGTTATTGCAATTTAATATAGGCTTTTCCATGCATTTAGGAATGCCATTTCAGAATCAAATTAAAAAATCAAGAGCCAGACGTAACGTTTAGAGTTTGCTTCTCCTCTATCCGTGCTTTTTTTCTCTTTTTGACGTAAGTAATTGGTCGTAACGAGTTGTGAGTGAATAAAAAAGCTGACTCCATATGATGATTTAAATCGCTGCACATCAATTGTTGAATTTTCGGCATTTTTAGCGTCTGCTTAAGTGCTAGCGAAGCAAACATTTAAATTTACGTTTTCTTGTTTCCAAAATTTTCTTTTAAGCATTGGTGGATGTTAAATGGAAATTTGAAAATTTTTCTAGATAAGTGTTGTTGACTGAATAATACCCAGTAATAAACAACAAACTATCACCTTCTTCATTTTTGCTCCCGCTTCCCACCCTCACATAGATCCGGCTTCCTGTCCCCTGTTCTCCCCCTTCCTGCCCTCTCCCGCCTCCTGTTCTCCCGGGCTCCCGCCCCCTTGCCCCCCTCCACATTTTTTACTTAAAACACAACGATACTTCTTGAATAAATAATTTTATACGTAAAACAATTGGGAACTGCCTAAGCCCCGAGCAGTAATCTTCTGCTAATAAATTATTTACAGTCAATATTTTTCGATTATTAATACAATACGGGACTTGTTTTTTTTTTAAGTTCAAACAGCAGACAGTCGCGCAGTACCACAGCAACAAGGAAGTCATTCCTCATGCAAGCACACGAGTATTCTATCAGAAAACAAATTTAGGGAGAGTTTGAAGTTCTCTTCGCCTTTCCTCTGTTAACTACATTTTTTGGGGGGGGTCCTCTAATCAGCTGATGATGTAAAGCAACACTTAGATATAGACCAGCGGATTGGCATTTCGGTTTCACGTACACGTGTTACGACGTCCATGGCGGCCATTCAGAGTTAAAGCAATGTGAAGTATGACCAGTTTCTGTTTGTTAGAAATTTCACTCAGTGGTTCTATTTTCCCATTTTTATATATATATTTTGAAAAATTCAGCCACCTTTTTTAGGAATAACGCCTAGTTTAAATGCCCTTTAGGATGTTTATAACCACAACTCGCCCTTTTCGTCTTCTGGCTGCTTTAGTCTCCATGACAGCCACGTGCTCAACAATCCATCGAAAGCGAATTGAGAATTTGGTCTTTGGTCTCCATAGTCCAGTTCAGATACAGTGCTGTAAGTTAGTTTCACAGGAATCTTCTATTTAAGAACGATGTTGACTCAGGCTGACATAAAAGCATAAAGCACAGTTGGCGGAATTTCCATCTCTTTGCACAATAAGATCGCCCTGGAATGTGTCAATTATCGCTAATCCCTTAGTTTGTTTTTCACTTTTGTGTGTAGGAGGCTTTGTGATGTTAATCACTCCAAGTTAAATCTCTTCTACTGCAACATTTCTTACAGGACCTTGTTTGCACACCAAGAAGATTGCAGAGAAAGACGGTCTGGGTTTTCCTTTCAATTCAGTCATGAGACTTTCACTTGTCCTCGCTTCTCTTGTTTTCTTTTCTGCAGCAGACGTTATCCTTAGTAATGGTGTTCCTGACGTCGGCCAGCCAGGTGAATAAATTTCTATATTGTATAGCTTCGTAGACGTGCAGAACGATAAACTTCGCTTGTAAATTTAGTTGAAAACGCCTTGGAAAGTAACGTGCCATGAACTTGCGTGCACACGGAAATTTGAAATTTAGTTTTACAAACATACGAGCAGAAGCATTAATCATAAACTGACTTCAAAGTATCATCTTGTTTGAAAGTAGTTGTAAAAAAATTATAAATGCTTTTTCTGATTTTGAAAAGATGTATAAATTGCATTTTAATATGGTCTTGATATCTTCTTCGGTATATAAAATTTGAGCCATAGTTCTTAGTTGAGTTATTTTCAGATTTTGTTGTATCAGGCAATCTCCCTCTTCTTAGATTCAAAGAAATACAATTGAGCATTAATTTGCCAATAACTGAGTTACTAAAACCAAAACAGCCTACAAGACAGCTCTGGTCGGTATGAGGTCAGCTCACACGAACGGATGGTACCTTCCCACAAAAAAAAGCTAAAAAAATGGAAACCAAACAGTTCCATTGCTGATCGAGACATTCATATTCAATTCTGCCGAAATAACTAATAAGAAAGATTTGGTTGTCATACATATCTGATAGTAACTCGAAGCACAATTTCTAATAAGGTTTTTCGCTAACCTGGCTAGTAGTGGTTAATACATCAAGTCTTATGCAAGCCAGAAAAAGTTTATTAAATTCGAAAACAAACTTGTATGAAGACTGATTTTTCACTGATAAATTTTGGAGTTCTATCGCAGAGCTGAGAGAAATCACACATCAGTGAAAGACTGCATCTTTTGTTTGACAATTTCGGGTTTCTTTCGGGAAACCTTTAATCTTCAAATATGCAAAACTGATTGAAACAAGTGCTTTAATTTCTACTGGCAAAATTTAATCTTACGTGGGATGTTTAGTTTGCATTTCAGTGTTGTTAGTTAAAAGAGTTTAAATCGACCGTAAAAAATCATATCCTTCTGTTGACACTAAACTCATTATTAACTCGAAGTAATGACGTGTAGGTATTCAAAAAGTAGTGATGCGTGAAGTCGCTATCCGAGAGTAACCAGTCGCGATTGGACATTACCCGTAACTGGATTCAAAAAGGATTGATTCGATCAAGAGCAAGGTCATTAAATTATAATCATCCATCTGACTACGTCATGACGAGATGTGTTCAGTACAAGGATGCGCAACGGAAACTATGAAAAAAGGAGAAACGAAAGGAAATTCTTAAAAACTGAACAAAATATTGATTTTATATACCGGAAGTATCGGAAACAACAAGTAAACGGAAACTGCGGTGCTTAAAGAAAATTTGAACTTTGAATATTTAGGAAGCCTTCATCAAAGTTTTTGTTTTTTATTTTGTCATATCTGCGTGTTCAACGTGCTGACTGAGTGACTAACCGTTATTTCCACCACGTTTTCTCCTGAAGGTAGCTCCTGTAGTCCTCTCGTGGTTGGCCAAGGTGTAATTGTGCAGGAGAGTTGCACAAAAGCGCCAAGCCCTCGCGGAACCGTTTGTGACTTGGCATGTCCGAACGGCATGAAATTAATGGCACCCCCATTTCAGCAGTGTGGAAATGAGGGGATCTGGACTCCACCCACTGGTTCCATCCGTTGTGGAGGTAAGGTGCTGTGGTGACTTTATGAAGAAGCAAGTCGGCGTTGTCTTTAGTTATTATCTGAAGATGGTTTATATACTATCAAAACTGTGAAAAAAAAATTTAAACGTCATATTTCTAATTTACAAGAGCAAACATTGATATAAACGTCTTGATTCATTTGGTAGAAATTTGTACCTATTCATTTATCAATTATTTACTTAATTTTAGATATTAATGAATGTGAATACGATAAAGGAGGCTGCAGTCATGAATGTGTGAATGATGTGGGTAGTTTCCACTGCACCTGCCCTCATCCGCTGGTTCTATCTGATGATAAACTCAATTGTAGAGGTGAGTGATTAAGAGCTGTTGTTACAATGTTGCCTGAGTGTTCCCTTTGGTGTCAATTTGTTCTTTGAGAACTCTTTAAATTTCCACTGAAGGGTCCCTTTGACGGGGAGCAGTGAGTGATCGTGATGTGATAATGATGTCAAGTTCTTCGAAGATCAATGGGAAGGTTGACCCTGTCGACACACCCTCCGGTGACTGTTCAAACCAATCCATGCTCTACACCGCTCTGCCACACCTTGGGTATTGGTATCCCTGAGTAGGCAATACAGATACCAGGAAACCTGCCTATTTAGTTGCGATGACCACAAAAGCTTGAGAAAGCTCGGACCTAAGATCGTGAGCTCTGAGTGACAGTACAAAACACCCAAAGAATAATATACTATTCTAATTAAGATACCGATAGACCAACTCATGAATAGAAGACCTTTTTATGTTTACAGACTAGACTTGCCTGATGACAAGAGAAAAATAGGGAATCTGCCAGGCTTTCATGGTTAACCATAGCGTGTAATGTGGAGATATCTCGATTTGGAAAGCTCGTAATTAACATAGAAGGAATTTAACTGAAAATATCGCTCAAAGAGGTTATCACGCAAATTCATTTGATGAGTTGTCAATTTTTATTGGTGACTTAACCGGGCCACTGAGTCGAAGAGAAAATGGGTTGGCTGAAAGTGGGCTGTTACCAGGTACAAATATCACCAGAAAAATCAGGCAAACTGCTTTACCACCGATAAAGTGTGCAACGTAAGGTGGCCCTGGATGCAAGTGCTCTGTATAAGACCATCCAGAACAGTTATATTCTTATCACAAACGTTTGTTGTTTTCCAGCTCCTGGTCTGCTCCTAAACTGCAGCACACATGCTATCGAGGTCACGGTCCCTAAAACAGCTTTGCGCGACCTGCAAGGAGACTTCCTTAGCCTCCTGGACCCATCATGTCCCGTAATTGAGACACCCACACATTACATCTTCAAGACTGGATTGGACAAGTGTGGTACCAAGAGACGCAGTACTATGGACTTCATCGTCTATAGCAACAAAATCGTGGAGAAGAAGGCTGCTCCTGGAAGCATCATTACGCGGGTTGGAGAGGATGAATTTGACATCCCATTTTGCTGTTATTACTTGAACAACGGTATCACCTCAGCGGTTGGAATCAAACCAGTGGTAAAGCAGCTATACATCGAGGAAGAAGGGTGAGGCTACGAGAGAAGTATCAAAGCAGATGCAATGATTTTTTTGTTTCTATGCAAGATAGTTAACAGAAAAGTAGAAACGGTTTCTCGGGTACACTGCCGATTTTGCACTTTCTTTCTTCTCTGACCAGAGAATGAGCGATCCAAACTTCTGCATCCTGCTGCACTGCATTTTTGAAAAAGCAAAGATAATATTCTATAGAAGTAGTATTTCCTTCCTTAAACATTTGATTCCAATAAATGGTTATGTATAATTTTTCCTTCCAATTTCAGTACGTTAATAACCAGGGAGATGATAAAAAAAATCGAGAACTCTATCAGCTGGAAGGTGCCATTTTGATTTAACACCAAATTCTAATTAGAGAGAGTTTTAACAGAGGGTTAAAATCAGCAAAAGTATTATCATTCAGTCCCAAAATTAATTGGTTAACTTCCCTTTCCACAGGTATGGCCGTTTTTCAATCCGCATGGATTTCTACCATGGTGAAGATTACCAAGACGTTCATTCGTGGAGTGACTTTCCAGTGGAGGTACCATTCCGTGAGCGATTGTACTTTGAATTGTCCATTGCTACTTTGGACCAAAGTCTCGAGATTATGGCGGGAAATTGCTGTTCCACACCTACCGCTGACCACAAAAAAGTGGACAGGTTCAGGCATGAACTTATTCACGAAGGGTAGGTTCAGTTTGATAACTGCTCAAACATCAAATGAATAAAAAATGAATAAAAGAATAAAATTTCCGTTGCTTGTTCCGTGCTCTATTACATTTTCGTCAGTATCTGTTGAGCATAGGTCTCATTCAGTAATGTATTCATACATATATAATAATATTACAATACATATTATAATAATTCATTGGAATATTTATCTGGCAAGTATTGCAAATCAACGATAATTACTTTTTTTCCTTTTTTTTATTGAGGTATCTAACCCGTTCGACCGCCATTCAATTAATGATATTTTCGTTTCGTCGTTTTCCCTTAAAATTATTTGATCGCTGACAAAGTATTCTAGTAAACCGCGGCTTCACCATCTCTGTAGCTTTCATAGCGTCTAACTCTTTTGTTTCTTTACTTTTTCTTCATTTGATACTCTCAGGAGACGATGTAATTATTTGCCGTATATTTCAGTCCTAATCTGTGCCACGTTCTAATCCAATCTTACTACCCCAGGTGCCCGGTCGATGATACAGTAAAGATGGAAGATTCACCTTCTCGACAGAAGAAACGCTTCAGCGTCGAAGCCTTCAAGTTTGTGGGTGATTTCCCCTTCGTATACCTCCATTGCAGTGTAGTGGTTTGTAGAGCAAATGATTCCGACTCACGCTGTTCCAAAGGGTGTGTCCCAGGCCTGCACGTGAATCCGCCATGGGACGTAATGGAGAAGCTGAAAAAGAAAGAGGAAGCGGAGCACCGAGCTAAGCGAGCCCTAGACTATAAGGACCCCAACTATTTAATCTCAAAAGGGCCCTTTTCTTTAAACGAGGAAAGTTTAAACGATGAACCTGTGATTGATCTGAAAGGACCTCAACGGGATCAGTCTAAGTTGGAGGAAGATGAACAAGGAAAAGACGAAGAAAAGAAAGGCAAGTGTTAAGAACTGCTGCAATTGAAGCTTTGTTAACGCTGTTGTCGTTGACTTCGCCGATTTTTTTTAAAATTTTCCTTGTCCTCAGTTACACCTCGTAATACGAGACACTTGAACAGAGGAGTGTAGTCCCCAATTAACAGCGAAAATTAACAGTTTGAGATGCGAGATGAAATTCTAGGTTTAACGTCCGTGATAAAATCTCTGATCTAGTGGTCATTCACACGTGTATCATTGCGCAGAGTGGCCAGTTGGCTAAAACTCACTTTCGGTGGCTCAGCTTTTTATACCCTGCCAGTTTGCTGTTTGAATCCCCGGGGGAAAAAGGCGAGATTTAATGGCCTTTAATTCAAAGTGGCAATAACAGCATGATCATTAACTACGTGTTTTTGCATTTCAGGGTGGAACTCACGCGTGACAAACGGTCTAATGATTGTAATTGCTGCAGCAAGTGTCCTCGCTCTCGTGGGTGTCATCCACGTCACACGCGTGATGAAACGCGGCCGCAATTACAAGGTGGTCGATCGGTTTTGAACAATGGGACCTTTTACGTACTTTTTTCTCGAAATTGCTCTCCAGAAGGTTCAAGTTGTGTGTATTACGCAACCCGTGTCAGCTGAAAAGAGGATCTTTTCCTTGAAAGCCATCCTGTTTATTTTCTTAATATATTCATAACTGAATGTAAAAGTAAAAGAAAAAAAGAAAACTCTAAAAGTTTTTATGCAAAAAACAACCAACTTGAAGTTTGATAATCTAAATGCTGCCTTTCCTTAACAAATAGTAGAACAAAAAGCAGAACAAGCGTTTTTCTGTTCATTCTTTTGAAAAACTCTTTTACTTCGTTCCTTATTGCGGAAAGGAAATCCTAAACATTAAATACGAATAACAAATTCCTTTTTAATATTTATGGCGGTTTCTTTTATGTAAGTTCTATTTTTTATATACTAAATATCAAACCATTTTCTTTAAATGAAAGTTACTTTTGTTAAAAAAGAGTTAAGCAGCAATTTTTAGATCAGAATTGATTTTGAATCCATAGTTCCTTAGAGGTAAATACCTTTTAGAATGTGCTAATGTTACTCAAGGTAGATTAATAAATGATTCTGTAGAGCAAAGAAAATAAAATAACTTCCAAAGTTAACTACTATCAATTTTGTTTGCTTTGTTTTGTTTTGTTTTGTTTTAAATACAATATCGAATCATGAGTATTTCTTTCATTTTCAAGTACCGAAACTTCTTTACGAACAGTCTGAATCAAATAACAAAACGCACCGCGGAAAAATTTTTAACTTTCGTACAGAAGAGCCGAGAAATATTTGAATACAAATGCCCTTTATTAAACAGAACAGACATAAAGGATAGGAAATATTTTTTTCAGCCTCGATGAACATGTGTTCCGAGATTGTGCACCAACAGCTAGAACAAAATGGGTGAGTTTGGTCCTTAATTATAAAGCGATTCTACGAATTAGCTTTCAGAATTAAGGACTCCTTTGAGCCAGATAGCTCCCGGAATTTCCTATAACTTGTCTTCCAAAATTTATTGCTGCAACAATTGATGCAGGCAATAAAATTAAGTTTTAATTTCTCTCTGACTGCAGTAACTCTGTAATATGCAGTGTAGTGAAATCTGCGGAAAATTACAGTAGATACTGCTCATGTAGGAAGGCTTCTAGATCAGGTGGAAGCCTAACCTTCCAATCTCATCGGAACACCGAGATGAAGGCCTGAAAGGAAAAAAAAAGCCTCGGATAGGCCAATAACACATCACAGCCGCACATAATCCCAGTTTATTTGAAATGAAAAGACTAACTACGGTACCGTTTCACCTTAGCAATTCGTCGGGCTTACATGACATCAGGCTGGTATCCATTCTCACCACCATGCTTGCCACGGCAAAAACGAAAGTGAGGACACTGGACCCCAGCCGTGCAATCCGGATTTGTGGTGACGTTAATGTAACTCAATCTTCTATATCTGTTTTAAATCTAGATCATCATTATTTAAATTAAAAACAGGCGAGGCGGATTGCGCCCTTTTAAATTCCGTGTCAACTTATTAGCTATTCACTTAAATCCATCAATTCCTTAAATGCACTCTTTTACGTGGTTTTTAAACCCAGTATAATTCAAAGGCTTTATTTGAGCAAACACTGCGAGCAAAACATTTCCCATAAAAAAAACCCTTCCATTAGCTTTCTTTATTTCCATGAAAAAAATTCGAGTCTTCGTGATGGGTTATCTACCTAAGCAAGGATTTATCAAGGCAGTTAAGAACGCAATAGGGTTTTCTGAAAAAAATCCTTCGTGATTCCATAAGCATTTGCTCGTCGATTAACTTGCCTTCCGAGGAATTTTTATTATCCCGGGATTTAAACGTGTTTACACTACCATGGCGTGTACCTCTTTAAGTTTGTTTATTGTGCCTAAACAATTTAAGCTTACAGAAATTTCGGCTCCTTACCTATCTTGCTTTTTTATTATTTCGTGGGAGGCGATTGTTATGTTAATTTCAGTCTCATTGTAATCTCGTCTTGAAATTCTTTTTAAGTCCAAAATTTTGTTGACTTTAGTTAGGTTTTGCTGGGTGTGGGAAAGAAAAATCTTTCCCTCTACCAATCTAGCAAAAATGTACCGCTACCTGTTACTCATGTGTCTTGCATTGTTGGATGATGTTACAGCTAAAATACGTAAGTGGAATATTCTTCCAGTTTTACAGATTAATCTACGATTTGAGAAGCAATCGTTAGTCAAAACATCGCATATCATTTCCGACGTTAATGCGAGTTTATGAATGAACTTTCTTTTGCAACTCAAGAAAAGTTTTTTTCGCTGAGGCAATTCTATAGAAGCCATCTGTGGACTACTAGCATCAAAGCATAATTTACAACAAGTTAAATAAGAAAGTTTAGAACCTTCCTAATAGGAACTTGGGTCTTTTTAACGGGTATTTAAACTGTGGTTACAAAGGTCGCTTAAATATAACCCAAAAAATTACAGCCAGAAAAAAATAACTTTATTGTTGCAGCTCGTTCTTTTTCATCTCTTCAAAAAGGTTAACTGACTTTATTTCTATGATTTTTTCAATGCAATCCTTTAGTTTCGTCAATATGTGAACATGTACTCTTACAGTTTTAATTATGCAGTATAAATTCTCATGTACCTGCAAAGTACAAAGCCTAGTTTAATGATAAAAGAACATAAGTTGTGACTCTCTTGAATCTGAAATAGTTTGATAAATCTGAGATATAGTTAGAATGGCAAGACTTCTTATATGCTCATCTAGAATAAGTTGTCACAGTTCACCTTGCCGGTTTCCGAAAATGTTTACTCAGTTACTGAAATATGTAGCTTTGACATGATATATTTTTCTGTATTTTCGTTCTGAAGCATGCAAGTCTCTTTGCGCGAAATATTTTTGAATGAAACTGCTAGAAATGACGACTTTCCTTCAGATGCGGTTTTTATCAGCAAACAAATTTGAAATCCACTGAAATGATAAACTTCGTTTTTTTACATGAAACATTCCCTACGCAATAAACTTTATAATTGATCACATTTCTGGAAACAAATCTGTTATGTACAAGCTAGCTTATAATTTTCATTCCTTCATGTGCACCGTAGCTAAGAGCAGATATGTAGACTCTAACGATTCAAAATCGATTCAGTTCGCCAAAAATATTTTTTTACTTCATAAAAATTCATTAGGCCATGTTATGGAAAACATTGACTCGTTGCAATAATATATTTTCCCGACTTTTCTATGGCTAGGTAGATAAATATTAAAACAAATTCGCGCAAAGATTTACGAGCAAAATTACGACTTAATTTCTTACATTCCCCCGATGCATTAACTTTTAATAACTTTCCAACTTCAGCCCATTTGGTTTGCCTGTTAATCAAAACCTTTAACTGCAATTGAACATAAATTAAGATTTTCTTACACTAGCATTAGCTTTCATTGTAGATATCTATTATTACTGGCGGCATTGGAGTCTCATGTCGCTTGAGCCTTGGACTTTTTGAAACGATTTACGATTTCAGTTATAAGCTGAGAAATAATTGTTTACAAAGTGCTATTATTCCACCGTCTACTCAACATATTCATGTCGGAACATGGAGTAAGCATAGAACTCGAAAATGGGAACTGCATCTTGAGATAATTTCATGAAGAAGATACTAAAAACTCTAAGGAAACGGCCAGATATTGAAGTGAAAATGCTTATCATTTGACAAAAGGGAAATAAGGTTTTTTTTGCGGGATTATATCTTGTCATTTAGCATCTTTAATTCAATATTGTGGGGTCAGAGGTTTTTTGACACCCCGTGCTTAAACATTTTATGATCAATAGCAAACTTCTCCTTGCAGAATTCCACTTTACAGCTGTATGTTGACACAATACACAATGACCTCTTAGTGTCTGTGAATACATGAACACATAGCCTTGAGAGAACTAGAGCTAGCAAAAATAAGAGGTAGTAACACGGAGAAAGTGACTCAAGGAGTCGTTCTGGCCCAGTTTTTATCACTCACTAATCTATAGCTGTTCTAGGCTCCCAGCTGGTTAAGTCGAGTGAAAGAGCTGTCGCGTAATAAACAGCGGTCATGGTTGTAAAGGAAATGGCTGCACCATGTTTGGCGCCTGAATTTTCGTTTGTTCCCACCATACAAAATCAGGGTGAAGCATATACTAAACTCAAAAAAGGAATAAAGTCAGTCGGGAAGTAACACTGAAGGAGAAAAATTTCTCCCATCTTTAACGAGTTTTACTCTAAGCTTTAGCCCTTTGAGTGTGGTCTAAGGAAACATTTAGCCTTCTTAGATAGTGAAATAGAAATTTGAGAAAAAAAATTTGAAATTTATTTTCAGCTGCGGCACCTGGTGAGAAAAAGTGTCCGGCCCTTAAAGTCGGAGCCCATGTGATAACCGATCATTCCTGTACTAGTGGCTCTAGCGACGTCGATACAGTTTGTTCATTTGCGTGTCCCAAGGGATATCAGCGAAATGGTCCGGGACATAAACGTTGCCAGTTGGACGGCTCTTGGACAAATGGTGATGATCCTGTCAAATGCGATGGTAGGTATTCACATATCTTATAAATTCGTTGAAGGCGAAATTTTCTATCGAGCGTCCAAGGTAATCGGTGCTTGTATTTTTTTTAGCGTCACGACAACTTTTAATTGGTTCTTAAGACTCGCGCCATCTTCTCGACCAATCTGATGGAAAAGTGATTCACCAAACAATGACGTTTTCCCGCGTAAGAACCGGTTCCATGAAGCGTAGTTACTTTGCGTTTTTTTTGGCTGCTTGCGATGTGAACGCGATACAAGTCAATTTTCTTGAGCGTGTGAAGACCTCGTTTGGTTTTGAAAGTTTGAAAGGTGCTTAGAAGAAGCAAAACAATTCGACCCTGTCATCTCGAGAGTCACCTAAAAACAACATTGACCGCAGCATCAACATTCAAAATAGTAAATTTAAAAGCACGATAGGCACCGTGCTTTGTATAAAATTATCCAGTTCGACAAGTTTTGTCAGCTTTAGTGACAACAGCGTGATTAGTTTGATGTGGTATTCATCAAGGAACGAAAAAATTTGGTGTATCTCTGCGATAAACGTATCTTAATTAAAAGATTACGATTTCTACTTTCTCCTTAAAGTACTTTCATTTTTATAATCTGTGCATTTTTTCACCAGATGTGAATGAATGTGATACCGCTAATGGCTTCTGCAGTCACCTCTGCGTGAATAAACCTGGAAGTTACAAGTGCAAGTGTCCTCCTCCACTTATATTAGATCCAAAAAATCAGAGGAAATGCAAAGGTACGCTGCGTGCGTAGTTTCCTGAAGCATTTAACACAAACACTCAACCAACGACGTCTTGCCAACTAGCAAGACCTACAGTTTATCGAAAGGAACTTTCACGCATGTCATCGCAAGAGACGTAGATGGTGTCAATAGGACCCATGTCTTAGATATTTTATGTCCTCGATCAGTATTTTGAGTCGAACGGGATGTATGAAAAAATTTGAAGACGCATACAAGTACTGCGGCTTTTGCGGCAGTTCTGCTAGATTTTCATGCTTCGTGCACCTTAGTTTAAGAGCAGAAAGATTGTTCTCACATCTGAGCACATGAAAGGTTGAGGATTTCCATTGTGTTTTAAAGTCGGAAATTACCATTTGATTTTCCCTTAAAGTATAGTTCCCCAATCGGGATTTGTTGATCAGCAACTGCATGTGTCCGAATTATTATACAACCTGGGAAATTGACTTTGGTAACCTTTTTCCCAAAAGGATAGCAACAACATATGAACAATGTACTTATCTTTGGTGTACGTATCCTTGCAGGTCCTGGTGTTCAACTTACTTGTGATACAAATCACATGGAGATCGTTCTACCCAAAAACCTCATCCACAACCTGCATCACGAGCACCTGAGTCTCATCGACCCAAACTGTCGAGCAAATGGTAACGCCACACACTACAGCTTGTCAACAGACATCACAAAATGCGGAACCACTTCCCACGTGTACAAAAACTTCATCGTGTACACCAACAGGGTGATCGAATCTCCTAACGAAGACTCGGACGTCATAACCCACGTAGGTGTAAACGAAATCAAAGTTCCATTCAGTTGCTACTTCAACGACCTGGAAATTGTCCATACCGTCGGATACAAACCGGTAGCACAGAAAATCCACGTGTACGTTAAAGGACGCGGTGAATACGCTTTGAGTCTGGACATATTTAAGGATGAGAGTTACGGAGAAGGATCTCGGGCTTTGGCGCCATCGTCGGCGAAGTACACACAAGACGACTTCCCCATCGAAGTTCATCTCCGTGAGCGAGTTTTCGTGCAGGCATCGTTGGACACTCGCGAGAAGGATCTAAAGATATTTGCATCTAACTGCTGCTCGACACCAATGCAAGATCACGAGGCTACTATGAAATTCAGGCACGCGTTGATTGTGGAAGGGTAAGAAAAAATTTTCTCATTTCTTTTTCCAGTATGGAAGCCTAAAGGTTAACGAACCTATTTACAATGTAGAAATATTAAGACCGAAGGAAACACATGTGTTGTAACATAGAAAGGACAACAAAAGTTAAAGTCAATCCAAACAGATCATAAACAAATTTCGTACCGCTCCATCGCACTTGATCTTTCAAAACTGTGCCACCGTCAATTAAGTATGGTAGCAGCCTTACAACTGACCCGACTTCGCAGACATTTTGCACTTTCTAGCAAAGAAAAATCTTGGTAAAAAAACAGAAGAGTTTTATAATAAACTTGCTTCGACATCACCGCATTGATAGAATTGATCTCAAGATACATATAATGCATTTTAGTTTTAGACAAGTACAGGAAGGATAGATCAGAAAGAAAAGTTAGTGTTCTCATAATTTTTTCTTTCTCTCCAGTTGTCCCAGGGACCCTACAGTTAAATTCCATTCCTCCTCTGACCCGACAAAATTTCGGTTCAGTTTCGAAGCGTTCCAGTTTCTTGGCAACCACGATTACGTCTTTATACATTGCCGTGTCCATGTGTGCGATGTTAACGATAACAAGTCCCGCTGTGCGAAGGGATGCCTGCCAGGATTCGGCAAGCCGCCAGTGCAAGATCATCCTGGGAAGATTAAAAAAGCTCAGACTCCAGAAAAACGTGCGACGCCTGTAGCTCAGCCGAACGGAAAGAGCGTCAAGAAGGTGGTGGCCTCAGGTACCAGCAAGAAAGCAGAGGTTAGCTCGGCGAGCAAGAAGAGCACCGTGAAAGCTGCAGCTAAAGTCTTAGTGAAAGCACCTTCGATAACCAAGAAGGTTCAAGATCAACCCAAGGTATCAAAGAAGACAGATGCCGAGATTGAATTACGCCATCTCATGAAACGTGCTGCTGCTACGCGTTTCGAAAAGAGAGGGGTGTTGGGTTCTACTGACTTAACCTCCATAGGTCCAGTCTTACTCGAACATGCCAAAAGAAATGGCAAGAGAGAGCCAAGGCCTAAGAAAGTGTTCGCCGATGCGAAAGGGATTGGCATGAACCATGATGTGAAGCAAAAGAACAAACGTAAGTTGCTGATACCTTTACTTTAAAGCTTTAGAAATTTGGGTAAAAGAGATCGGAATCAAAGCTCTTTCACTCCATGAAATCAGAAGATTTAAAAACTTCTGACCGGACCAGCACCGATTAAAATTATCACTACTCGTGAAGAGACAAGCACGTCAAGGAATCAGAAAAGGGTGAAAGAACAAACTCAATGGGTAAAAAAGAGATAAACCATCTTTGTTTTATTCCTATTAAGAGAAAAGCAAATTTCGACCTGGTTCTGTGGTCTGATGAACGAGTTCGCGCCAGGCACACAGGCCCTAATTCCACTTTAGGGTCTTCTATCCCACTCCTTTTTTACCCATGACATACGAAATCATTGTCGTTGTCATTATTTTAACTTTTACGAGATGAAAATTCTCGATAAGTCAGTTGTGGCACAAACTACTCCCTCGAAGTCCAAACAATCCTGATAAAGCTTGCAGCTTTTTCTTCTCAATGATATGAGTGGAAGAAGAATTACAGGGAGTTGACGCCCACATATGCTGAACTCGAAGTAGCAGTCAGCGAGCATAGGGCCTCAAATAATAATTTTCATTTTCATTGGATTTTCTTGTTTCAGGTACGTCTGTGGCTCCTAGTGCAACAAACATTGTTCTAGTGGTGCTAACAGTAGCTTCCATCATGGCGCTGGTTGGAGTAGCATATCTTGGTCGCAAAGCGACAAAGATTGTGAACAATCCTTACAATTACGACTCTTTAGCAGTCTATCAGTAAACTTCATCAGTCGTTAATACTACATCCTGTTTGTCCTTTGTGATATAAAATTGGTTTTGGCAACCTTCAATCTCTACAACGCTTGAAAATAGTAGAATTTAGTATTATCTTGGCCCTTCCGCATGTAACTTTTAAGAGGTTCCACAAGGGAAAAACTTCTCGAGCAATTCACTGAGAAGTGGCTCATTTCAAACTTTTTCAAAAGCATTATGAGGGCAGAAAACTGGGTCAATTTTTCTAGTTCTGTTTTTCTTATATCTTTTCTGTTTAATCTCTTTCTGCTTCTATCTGTTTCAAAAATGTTTACTCTTGGTAATAAAGACATTCTTAAATACGCAAACTTGTCGAGAGCAAACATATGCATTTAGACTGCAAGCTGCCCCTCCCTTTCGGCGAAGTCCGTTGTGCAAGCGCCTCACTTCCGGAGCTCCCCGCAGCCCACTAATATCAATATTTTTTTCATTAAATATTTTTTTGATTTGAGCGATGGACTTTGTTGCAAAGGAGAGACTGCTCGTAGTCCAATAATTCGAAATACACTTTAAAAAACTGTTTTATCGATGTTTTTATAAAAAAAAAATCGTGTGTGGGCAAGTTAGGTAGTCCTCTTAAAAAGTTAGAGCCGCAGAGAACTAATAATTATTCTTTTATCTTTCCAGTAAACGTACAGGAATCTGATACAACTTGACTAATTTGTCTTGCTTTTAACGAACCTAATATACATTGCAGTACTGAATGAAAATAAGAAAACGTAATCATGTCGGAAGCCTGTGCCAAATTACATCTCTAAGGGTCATCAATTTGTCCGAAAATGTCCGCAGGGGGGTCTGGGAACGATAGTGAAGGCCAGATCCCGCTCGTTCCGCAGCGCTAATAATGAGTGCCTGTTCGCAAGCTAGAGTTATTCTTGATTGGGCGATTACAACTTCGGGAGCTGGGGTGGAGATCATCCAAAAACAGACTATACGTCAATAATACGGTTAACTTGATCGCATTTCACGAACCGGCCGTAATGTCTTTTCAATAAAGTTTAATGGCGGAAAGTCACCTCCTCTTTTTCCCGAGTTTCACTTTCCCAGCTGTACCTTTCTTCCTCTTTCCGGATACAATAAGATGTTTTCTTTTTGCTGAGCCCTGAAAGAAAACGTAATGAAACTTAAAATTCTCGGTTGAAAATCGAGTATCGAGTAGCAGACCGAACACCAGACGCGACTACGCACGTGAAACTCTCCGTGATCCAAGACTGTCTTCCTACTAACTTCTAAGCATTACCTTGATGTAAAATGACAGGTAGTTGTCAAAATGAAACTGTCCATTTTGTTTACGTCAATAGACTGATAAAAAGTTCCTATGAAATAAATGTACGACACGCCAGTGATTTTAAACCCTTTCATAAAATCGCCCCCTCCGCTCGCTTTGCTGACGCCAGCTTTTTCTCTACCAGAAATATATACTTCTAACATACCTCTAATGTTTTCTTGGCATGATCATCCTCAACCGCGCCTTCATCATCGCTGGTGTGATTTCCATTAACATGAGGTTCAGAAGCCACTCCCATCTTTTTCTTCTTTGTAGAATTCGTTTTAAGCTCAGTCATCGAGGAATCTAATTTCTTGGTGATGTTAAGATCGTCGTTTAACCTTTTCGCTTTTATCCTCTTCTGTTTTGTTTTTGATGCAGACCTTGGGGAAGAGCTTGACATCAAACGTGGAGAAAAATGGTTTAACACGTCACAAACAGTGTCCAACGTGACGCTTTTGCCATCTGGTCCTTGAATTTGCAAATCCGGCATGTTTCTAGAAACAGTTGAAGAAAATTAATCCCATATCGTCATGAATTAGAATGGGAATTATTGCTACATGTACAGTTTCATCTAGCCTTGTCACAATGTGTCCTCTCTTGCATTGCTGTCTGGAAAAAGTCTGGAGAGGTACAGAAGATAAAACTGCTATGTTAATCATTCAGTAGAATGCCTACTTTGTTAGCACATGGAGAGAGTGAACAACAGATACAGCTTGTTGAAGTAACATGATGTCATCTTCTCCTGACTGAGACGTGTGTCCATTTATTTGACTGAAGTGGGAGGCCAAAGAATACAGCTACAGAGGAAGTGGAAAAATAAACAGGAAACATTTGTGTTTAAAGTAATTGGTCTTGAAAACTTATGTACACAGGGCGCTTATCAGATGGAGGGCGCTTAAGGGAGGGAGAACATTTTAAAGAATTTATTGACCTGTACTTATTCTACTGTGTTTTAAGCTCAAAAACTTTTAAGAATAAGTTTTCCTCTTAACCTAATTTTATGAAAGTGAAGAAGACGGGGGGAGGGCACTCTTTCAAGAGGTCAAGAAAGGCACTTGGTTTGATATTATGACCAAGAGGGGTGGGGGTGGGTGCTTGTTAGAGTGTGGGAGCTTATTAAGGCGTGCTTTATTCAAGGAAATATTATTGTCAAACTATGACAGTTTCAACTTTTTATTAATTGAAGATGATATTTTAGATGCTTGAAATCTTATCTTGTATTTGCTTCATGTATTTCCTGCTTGCTGCTAATTCCTTATCACAATGATAAAGTTTAAATTTGCTACCATTTCGGGAGATGGGTATCAATAAGGTGACATAAATTTGAGAGTTATCTCGCTACACCATACAATTCTATGGCTTCTACTCAGAAATCTCTGACTAAATTTAGATGATCTGAGTACTATTTTTTTCAGACATGGGGAATATTTCCTGTTAAGTATTGGAATTCTCCTGCTATATCTACTAATGAAAACCCTAAGGGCCTGTTATTTAAACAAAGTTTAGCTGTCATGTAACTAAACTGCTTCCTAAACTATCTGGAATTAAGCTGAGTCTTTTATCTGAGCATTTATTGTTGCAAACAGTTTCAAGAGGGCCAAAAGCTAATAGTGAAAGGGCATTCATTTCATGAAAACAACCCTCTCATAGAGAATATGTAATGCCCTCTGCTTGCGTAAAACTGTGGTTTGGGTTAGACCTTGTGCAAAGAACAAGCCCTTAGGGTCTATCATTGACTGAAGTACTCCAAGCGCAGGCAGGAAAATTCAAGCCAACATACCTTTGCACTGTCTGAAGAGTTATCTGAAGACAACAGGAAATTCAGTAGCTTTGCAAGGTTCAACAGCAAATGACAATCTTGACAACAAAACTACAATGTTAAATGAAAGCAATTCAGGGATTGTCTGAGAATATTATAGTATACTTTGGAATACTGGTAAGAACATGTGATTTGAAGTGTGGATCATTTTGATGAAAGGAACAAAGTAAGGAGTATGGACCAGAAGGCTTTTTTCCAAAGGTGATAAGCATTCCATATTTTAACAGCTCTGACAGCCTACCTAGATACCTAGTGCTCCCACAAAGGGCAAAGACTTAGCAAGCCAACCAAGCAAACAAAGCCAAACTTTCATTTAAAACTATTGTCTCCATGTAAAAAATTAAAATGATATTACATTGGAAAGAAAAGTCTTTTTCCCCCAGACCATGGACTCTGTCATGCCCAACAAAAAGGAACTTTGCAAAAGCCTACATTCACAACAACTCCCACTGGTAATTTCTCAAATTTCTCTGATACTGCCTCTTCTACCCAGTGATGCTCCTATGTGTGAACTAAGATGAACAGTGTAACATCGTGTCACTCAAGAACATCACACATTTACTCTGAGAAAGGCTTTAAAACTTAGGTGTCTTCTATCCAAAGAAATGACAAATGACAATGTTAATGTAAAGGCTGCCACCACAGATGAAGAATAAGCACAATTACCAGTCAAGTCTTATGATGGAGAAATGTTTGCAATCCATATTCCCTCCTACAGGAGAAACAAAATCTATTAAAATTTCAAAACTAACCTCTGCCCCTTTAATCTTCAGAATCCTTTTAGTCCAATCTATATGCCAAGTTAGTATTCTTTCCACAGTTTTCTGACAAATTAAAAAGATGCATATTATACAATTTCAATGCATTAATCCTTTTTTCTTCCCAACCAAAGAGTACCTGACTTTTTGGGTTGTTGAGCAATGTTACTCACCACAGAATCCTGTGGGATGTCCAAAGTCTCACTGTCCTTGGAAACTACTTTGCCACACCATTTACAATGGATCTTCAAACATATAAAATGTATATTATTTCTCATACCACTCCCACTCATTAACAAAACTTCAGTCTGTTACACTACTAATAATATACATGAAAAATTCATGCAGTTCTGATTGGCTGAAAAGGAGTGCATTTTTCATGTAACATGATTGCAAAGTTATTACACATGTGTAGCCAATGGACTTTTTTAGCTATGTGATCACGTGGTTTGAAATGGGCAAACAGAAATCAAAATGGCTGCTCAAGTACATTGCATGTCTCACAAACGACATCTTATGGATGAGATGCGTTCTTTTCTTTACGGAATTTTCACATTCACAGATAAATCAGGACTCATAAGACAATGGTAATATACAGATAAGCAACAATTGATATGGAGTCTTGAAATGTTAAGCAGCCTCAAGCTGGGAAAACAAACAATAAGCACACGATGCTTAAAGAACACAAAAATACATGAAACAGGCACAAAAGTGCGTAGCAGATGAATATTTATTTTTGCTTCAAAAATGACGTCGACACAGTCGTGATCTTACGGATGTCAGATGTATCTCACTTTTATGTATCCATAAAGTTAGAAAGGACAACTACGAATTTCCTAGTTTAACTAAAAACTTTAATCATACCTCTAATTCCGCCCTGCTTTCACGAGGATCGTTCAAACCAGACTGAAGAGCTTGTAAGACCTTCGAAATAATCTTTTATTAGTTGTAGCAAAACCGTGAATTTACAAGCTCGCATTTAAACCTGAAGGTATGAAGCCCTCTTTAGAGTAAATTTTGAACTAATGATACAACCTTTTTCGCACCATGCATTCCAGGTAAAATCTGCGGTGATAAATTCGAAAAGGACTTTGTCAAAGTCTCAACTAATGGTTCCCATGCGTTTTCGTCAGCCATCTTGAAATTCTTCCTCGGAATGGAAAACATGACGTATCTACCTTACTACTCCACATAACCGCTGAGCACTACTAAGCTTACCACGTGCAGATTTCCAACATGGTGCCCGAGGAAGACGAAATATCTGAACGGTTTGGATCGGTTCGCCTTGTTGGGGGTGAATCTCTGGTATCTCACCGAACAGTGTTCAGCAGAGACTCCAAGTATGTTATCAATCGCGTCATTTCGTGTCGTAAATCGCAAAGTTCATTTAAGCCGTGGCGTCGAAGTCCTGATTGTTTGTTAATGTCCACAGGATCTTATTTTGCTCCTGCGGCCGAAAAATACGTGTGTACAGCACGTTAACGGGAGATTTATTGCGAGAACTCCAAGGACACGAAGGAAAAGTTACAGACTTTAAAATCAACCCTAAAAATCACTTACAGGTTCGTACAGGTAGCGAGTTAGATTGTGGAGGATTTTTAAGTCGCGAGCTCTCTGCAGTGCAGTGAATTAATTTCAATTTTAAGCTTACGTAGTCTTATAATATATACCTTTCTATAATAAACTGAATTATACGATCATTTTTATTTTGGTTCTTCCTTATGATGTATTAGGGGAGGGACACAGATAACATTACCATAACCAACACTTTTCTTTACGATATAAAACCAAGAGATTCTGAGTAGCCATGTGTCGTGTATTCGTTTAGTGCAGACTCTAACTCTTCGACTGGTTTCTATATCCTGCCTGTAGTCAACGATCAACTATCTAATAACCTAGTGCAATCATGTTACTTGATTACAGTACTTTTACATCATTCAGTAATGCAGTAATTATTTATCACACTATACACTATACACTATACACTATACACTATACACCATAACTCTTTCCAATAATAGATTACAGAATAGGTCAAAAGGTGGTAAGAACATCAGTGACACACTCTGCTACACCTTATGTGCCCCTCTTGTTCTTACTACACTTTAACTTCATGTGCAATCTCTTCGTACTGTACATACGCAGGCAATTACATGGAATCTACATGTATTTTGTCTATAAGAACTGAATTTTCAACATTTTGTCACTAAGTGTGCATTGTCCTGTGAAAAAGCAAGAGCAGTTTTTGTTGCAGTATTAATTACCAAATTTGGTGTCATCTTAAACTATTGTGATTACTGTAGATAATATTTGTACTTTCAAAGAGTTTGAATTTCATGTAAACAGTACACCTTGGGGTTTGCTGTTTAAATCGTTGTAGATGTGGGTCTGTGTACAGTTTGAATTTGTTTTCCTATTTTAATTTATGTTGGTTACTGCATCACAAGCTGTATATTAACCCTTTAACTCCCAAGATGTCATTAGTAATTCTCCTTACTGTCTGCCAAACAGTTCTTGTGATGTTAGTTGGAGAATCTGGTATTGGATCAACTTATAATCCCCTAATTGATATTTTTATTTATTCTCATCACTTGTCTGCTTGATATTGTATTGATATTATAAGGAGAAATTCTGTCTTGGTCACTCATGGGAATTAAAGGGTTAAATGTAGGATTTCATGATGCAGTGAACATTTCCATTAACCCTTTACACTTAGTATCAGTATGCAAGTTCTCTGTACTATTTTAATACATATCTATGGTACTAACAGGAAGAATTAACCTAAAAGTCAAGGGCTCCTTGAGCTAACCAATGCCTTTATTCCCATGACCTAATATTTGGTAGAGCAGTGATACTGTTGGGAGAAATTAGATGCATATCACTCTTAGATTGTAAAAGGTTAAGTCCATGTTTTTCCTCTAGTTAATTTCCTGTGCAGTCAGTGGAGATGTCATATATTGGGATTATACAGATGGACAGATTATTAAGGTAAGCATTGATCAAAGTACAATTTATGTTGCAGTCTAGATAAATGGATTCTCGCAAGGACAATTAATAAGCTGGTGTTCAAACTTTTCAGTGGCTCTAGAATTTTTCATATCAGTTTTTTTATTTCACTTTTTTTTGTATTTATCACCTTATTCTGAAATTGAGGGAAACAAATCATAAACCTTTTAACTCCCAAGATCTCATTAATAATGCTCCTTACTGTCTGCCATACAGTTTTTGTGATGTTAGTTTGGAGAATTTGGTATTGGATCAACTTATAATCTCCTTACTGATATTTTCCTATATTCTCATCACTTGTCTGCTTGATATTGAATTGATATTGGAAGGAGAAATTCTGTCTTGGTCACTCATGGGAGTTAAAGAGTTAAACTGATTTTGATTGTGAAATTGTAAATCAAAACTATATTTTAACCACAGTGTACACATAATTACTCTGTATTCACTTTACCATCAGGATTTGTGTTTTGTATATTTTTTGGTGTTAGATTTTACAGAATTGATGGGTTATTTTTCAACAGAAATACAGATTTGAGGGTTCTTTAGTAGGATTGATGGTTCACTCAGTACATAATGAATCGGTGTTCTTGATAAAGCAAACCTCATGTAAAGGTAAAGAACCTTGTAGACTAGATGTCATTGCCTTAAATTTCAATTGGTAGTTGTAAAAGTTTCAAATCTGCTTACTGGTTTGTTTAATGGTGTTTAGTTATTTGTGTGGTCATCTATCTCAATGATCTGAACCTGTCTAGAAGGTATACATACAGTATATCACATGCACAAGCACCTTTAATGTGGCAAGTCAAAAAGGTTTAAGATCATATTTCAAAACATTAAATATGGAATGGTTGTCACCAATTGGGAAACATTGTTTGATGGTTGTGTAGCAAGGCAAAACCTTTAGGTTGCCAGGTGTTTATGGTCAAGAGGTTAGTTGAGATAAACATGTGCACACAAGAAATGAAAAATTTGAATGTTCTGCTGTTTTCTTTCATAAGAATGTGCCTCTTTCTACTTGTTTGTTTGCGTATTATGCTTTGAGTTATTGTGCTAACATCCCAAAACAAAACACAAATACACGTGTGAAGTAAAATTTATTGGCTCAAATTTTATTTCTGGCGACCCATTATGAGCTCAGGTCACCTTATAGAGAATAGAAGAGTTGAGCTGGAGCTGTGGAACTTAGAATCTGTTGCTTACTGTCTTAGGTAAGAAGAGAAAATCAAAGGAAGAAAAGAAAAAAAAGCTTGTTGAACCAGAAGAGTACAGCTTGTCTGTGTACAATCCAAGATATTGTAAAAAAGTTGACAAACCAAAGTTAAAAGTGATACTTCATACATCGGGCAACTCCAAACAGACTACAATGAGTGGTGATGTAAGTGCTAATGAATATTCAACAGAGTAAGGATGAACAAGTGGAAAATGGATCAAAATCCAATAATTACTAGTTCTGAATATTACTTTTTGACCTTTCAAATTATTACCCTTTTTTCCTTCAATAGTTTGGCACATGGTTGTAGGAGCTTAATTTAAATTTCCTTCTTTGCCTCAAAGTCTCCTCAATTTACATGTTATTTGAGGATGCACTAATGAAAATTTTGTTTTCTTTTCAACCAGGGCAACTTATTAGCAACTGTGAAGGAAAACAATCTACACTTGTGGAACTTCCTCTCTGGAAAATTAAATACGTAAGTGATGTACTTAAAAGATACGTTTACAAAGCCATGCTTTGTGTGAGATGACCCCATGAGAAATGGTTTATGCAGTTTTCAATACATGCGCTAAAAAATTTTGACTGAGAAGTATGCATTTTTGCCTTTTAGTAGGACAAATTTACTTAGAACAACTTCAAAATTACATGTACTGTAAGTCCTCATTCTCAAATACGGTGTTCATCATTATTGTCAGTGGTGCTTTTTGACCCCATTTTGGTGTGGTTTTGCATAGTGTGTATCATTTAGACCATAGGATAGTAGGTGAAGAACTCACTGTATTTTACAGTAATTGTAGTTTACAGTTTCTTGTACTTCTTTTTAATAATAATTCTTTGTTTTGTTGTTATTTTGTTGTTTTTTTTCCAGGTTTTCATACAGACGCATACAGTTTTCATGTGCAGCCTTTCATCCTTTAGAAGCTTGTGTTGCTACCGGTGTATGTGGTAGTGGGGAGATTATTTTATGGTGAGTAGCTAAGGATTCCTCATGACCAGATTGCAAAATGTCCAACATGAACGTGCTGATGAAAGTCTACATGTTGTATATGTATGCCTGTCCAAAGGTATCAATTAATTTTGTCTTTCAAGGATCACAACAAAGTGGTGTGAAGTGGAATGAATATTAGTACATTTGATTAAACTTACCTCCAGACTTTTAGAATTACAACAGCTTGTTCTGATTAAGTCAGCTACAAAGTCAGTAATTTATTCAGTACAATGTAGTTTCCCCAACTAATTATGGTGGTGGTGTACATGATTGTTGTGGAATTACCAGACTATGATATACATGTAGAGAAATTTGTCTAACTCTGTGTAAAAAGACTGCATGCATTTTTGTTTTTTACCTTCTGTGCTTAAGGTAAACCCTTAAACTTAAAAGATGCAGGAATTAGTGGGTACTTTAATATTATTTAAGTTATGGTCATGCACAAAGGATAAAGGATGGTTTATGAAATGGTGAAGTTTGCTTGTAAATATCTGAATTAAAATGCCTGAACAATTTGCAGTTTCTGCATGTGTTCAGCCCTCTACAGTGTCTTTGGGTTCTTTGTAATAACTATGGTCTCTGAGTGGATAACGCAGTAATAAGTTTTGCAGACCTTACACATGTACATGACTGTGCTTTCTGTTTTTAGGCAAGGTTTGGATCAGTTAGAAAGTCCTGCTACTTCAGTTCTTCACTGGCATCCTAATCCTGTCTCTGATATTATTTTTTCTCACGATGGTAAGATAATTTGACTTGTCTTTTTTTGTTTACTTGCTTGTATAATAATTATATATGTTTACCTCATAGTAAGTGGTAGCTACAAGTCTCTCTCTACAGACTTAAAAAAAGCTTCTCTTTAAGCAATACTGTACTGAATGGGTTCACATCTTACTGACAATAAAACAGTAGGAACCAAGGGAGATCAGTTGATCATGGAGAATGATTTTTGGTGAGGACTGAACAGGACTGTTGTTCATGGCAAATCACTTTTACTTACAATAGTCCTACTGAGAGCTATGCTGAAGACTCTCAGCTCAACTTTATTTAAAGCTGTCATGGCAACTAAACTAGAAAGCTTAGAGTGCAGCTGCACATACATGTGGGTATACTGTATGAGGTTGATTGCACAGCTAGATTGACATCATAAATACATACAGCACCATATTTGATAGGCATTTCATTATGTTGTACATGTCTCAGGTTCAAATATGTTTTCTGGTGGAGAGGAAGGTGTGTTGGTGTTGTGGCAGTATAAGACAGATCACCAAGTCTTCCTTCCCAGGTTAAGCACTCCTATAAACCATCTTGCTATCAGTCCAGATGATTCATTGACAGCTGTCAGTCAAAGAGAAAATGGTATGTTGTCAGTCATTTATGGGCAGCAGGTCTCATCTATGATCAAAATGATTCTAATTTTATTGAACATCATTTAAGAAGTGAAAGGTTCAGAGGCTTGATGGTTAACATTCTGGAGTCAAGATGGAAAGAGCTAGGTTCAATCCCTTGTAGGGTCTATTTTGTTGTGTTTTGAGGCAAATGTCTTTAGTCACACTTTAGTTTTGAGGCAAATGTCTTTAGTCACACCGCCACTCTGCCCAGGAATGTCTTAGGACATCAGCAAATGGTCAAAAACCCAACAAAATACAGGGGGAGAGAGAGGGGGGGGGTAATCTCAGATAGACTTGCACCCCATCTACAGGGGGGGGGGGGCAGTTGTACTACAGAAAATGGAATTTGTGGACTTACCTTTGACCATCTTGTAATGTCCCAATTAAGTTACTATTCTATGCTTGGGATTGGTTTCTTCCTCTTTGAAAAGATGTCAACAAATACAGTATCATTAATTGTTTGTATCTTTTTAAATTTCAGTTATTAGATTAGTTAACAATACTGAATGGAAGATTAAACGCACAATTCAGGGATTGAGACAAAGTAGGTTTCACTTGAACTTCAATTTTACAAACATCAGCCATAATGGTTGTATGGCATAAATGAATAATTATTGTTCAAATGTAAACATTACATTATTTTCTTGTTTATGGTGTGCAATGGAGAGCACTCTTTTTAAAAATTTAATGCACTCTGGCTGATACAATAGGAGGCTATCAAAGCATTTGAAGATAAAGAGGCAAGAACTTTTGGTCTCCTTTTCTGGAGAATTATCAAACTGAAATTTTGTTCAGCAATAGTCTCTTACAGCATTCTCTTGCCATTCCAATCTATTACTGCCCTTATCCCTTCTTGCCAAAAACTTTAATTGCTCCATATTGTGAGAAAAACAGACTGCCTTTGTGTGTTTTTTACTTGATTGTACTCAATGTACTTGATTGTACAATGCATTGTCTCTTCTGTCTTTTTATAGTTGATAATCTTTTTGCTGGCATTGTGTATGATCCACGCTCAAAAGGCCTGGTGACAAGCAACAAGCCTGGTGTTCTACAGTTTTACCTTCCACAAAGTGATCATCATGCATTTTCTGTAAGTTATTTACCTGAAATAATTTTGGTGAAATATATGAAGATTGAATTACTTTTACATTATTTGTTTTGGTGGAGAATTGATTCTTTTGTATAATGTTGTCCTAAATTGTGTACATTCAAAATGAATTTTTTCTTTTGATTTTAATATACTTTACATGTCTTGTGATCCTGATATATACATGTGCGTGTAGTATTTAAGATGTTACAGCAGTTGCAACTGTTGAATCTTACTTGTCCCTGATCTGCACAGAAAAATCATTGCATCTTTACCATTTATTGTTTCTTTTTTCGTTTTTTAACTTTTAATCTCAGCTTGATGTTGTAAGACAGAACATTATTGTCAGAACAAAGAAGGAGCAGGTAGTCTGCACCAAGGTTGATCAAATGGCATTTAATGACAGTGGAAGCTGGTTGGCAACAGTGAGTTACTTATCTCTGAAAAAATTAATGAGAATTGAATTCTGGTGACAATGTGATCTCCATAGAGATATTGTACTTGTTTAATTAAAAAAAAAAACCTTAAGTGAGATCTGATAGACTGGTAGGTTCTTCTCACAACATGTCTTGTGTGCCCTGGTGAAACAGAGAAGTACAGATGTTGCATCCAGTTGAGTTAGGGCTGTATTCAGCCATTCCCTGATGACTTTACATACATGTAGGTCCATGTTCACAAGGAAAGATGCTGTTTTCTTTGGGTCGGTTACAGATTTGGAAAAATACAAGCTACATGTCTCCTTGCACCCAGGCACTTGTAACAGGAAATTTTAGGCACAGTCTTCATACTGTTTTCACACTTACACATACAGTTTGTACATGTACACGTTTTAAATTTTTGTCAATGTTGAATACACATGTTAGTTTCTGAAACTGATTTCAATTGTTAATTAGGTTGAAAGAAGAGATGACAAGAAAAATGCAATGGAATTGAGACTCAAATTCTGGGAATACAACCAAAGCGATCAGTGGTATGATCATTAATCCATTAATTGAATATTGATAAAAGCTGACTTACATCTACAAGACTTGTCAAGTGCATCTTTGTTTCCTGAATTTCAGTAGGTTACTATATTTGTGATTTTAGGTAAAATCAGCTTGCAAACCAGAGAAGCTATTCATCTGAAACTTTACCTTGTTTCTGTTGCATGAAGAATCAGGCAGTACCTCTGCTTTCCCTCATACTGTACATCACAAGGTTATCCCTTGCAATTTGTTGTGATTTTTTGACTTTTCAGAAGTACCTAATTGTACTCTTAGGTCAGAAAGAGACACAGTGAGAGTGAATTGTCTTGCACAAGAATGCAGCCTGATCCTGCTAGACTTCAAGGCTAGCCATTTTTGTCCACAGTTCAGTGCAGTCATTTTTTTAATTTCTTGTTCTCTCTTGTTTTCTAGTTATGTTACAAACACCTGTGTTGATTCACCTCACGATAAGAAGATTGTAGCCATTCAGTTTCAACCTCAGCAGAAAAGAGATGAAAGTACACCTCCTCTTGCCATGACTGCTGGAAAGGATGGAAAATTCAAGATCTGGCTTTTGGCTGAAGAAACAGCTATCAAAGGTACATGTGTATGTAAAAAGTTAATGTACAGAAAATTTCAAGAGAGATGTGTGGGGTTGAAAGGAAAAAAAAACTAAGACCTTTGGAGAGGCATCCCACATATTGTGCTCTCAAGGAATTTCCTGAAGTGCAAAGGAAATCAAGAATTTCAAGGAAAATCACAAAAACTGCTAAACATTTCAATACTATTTAGCAGTGCTTGATGTTTATGGACACCTTGATGTAGGACTTGCTTATAGTGTTTTCAAAGTGGACAGAAAAGATATGAATTACTCAACAAAATCCCTCCAGCCCCCCCCCCCCCTTCATTTTGCTCACCTTCCCTCTAACCTTAAAACTTTTGCTGATTGCATTGAAGGACATGGTTTATCTTTGTGTAAAAATCCGAAATACTATCACAACATACATGTGAGTTCATTTTTGCCCTTTTTTGCAGCCGTGAATGGTATGCTGTTTGTAGGGTAATGTGTAACCATCTTATCTGTACTTTCAGGGAAGGAATACTCTTGGTCTTGTCAATCAGTTGGTTACTATGGTGACCAACCTTGCCAAGATGCAGCTTTTTCACAGGATGGATCTCTCCTAGCAGTGGCTTATGATAAGGTTCTTGGCTCATTAACCTTTTTACACCCTAAGATCAGTATTTATATTCTTCATACTGTTCTCTGCACATTTACTAAGGTGCTGACAAGGAGAATTTGTGTAACAATCAAGAATTTCTTTAGTTGGTGATCATTTCCTTTATTCTCATGACATTAATGTCTGATTCAGTGGTGATATTGTAAGGAGAAATTAGATGCTGGTCACTCTTAGGGGTTAAAGGGTTAATGTATTGTACTGGGTTCTCATATCACTTATACCATTGTTTGTTTTTCCTTTTTCTTCCTTTCATTCTTCCATTGACTCGCTTGTGCATGTGTTCATTTTGTGTCCTTTTGTACTTGTATGTTTTGGTTGTTCATCTGTTTGTTTATTCTTACCTTTGTTCTTTCCTTGTTTCCTTTCTTCGTTCATTCGTTTCGTTGTTCATTGGTTTTGTTGCTTTATCACTGTGTTCATTCCCGCGTTTTTTCATTCCTTCATTCCTCTGTCCCTGTATTTCTTGTGTTCCTCATTCTCTATGTCCTCAACTCAGGTTTATTAGGCCAATATTCGTCTGTTAGTACAATAGGAGGCCCTATCGAAGCCCATTACAGTGTAACATTGCTGTTCCTGGGTCAAAACGGTGCCAAGAAGAAAATTTTCCAAAGGTCGCTTGGTAGCCCCCCATCTGACTACTGAGCATTACCCAGGAAAATAATATTTTCCTTTTCCTTGATTCACTGATGGAGGCAAGTGTTGCAAAGAAACCAAGTTCTTAATGAACTTATTTCTTTTTTTCATTGTGGGATGGTACAGTTAGCTCCGTCCTAATAGCTGATTTTTCATGCGTGTACGTATTGGCAAGCCACACTTTAAACTGTAATTATGCAGTTAATGATATACATGGAAAAAGTACGCGCGTATGATTGGATGAAAACGAGTGTAAAGTTGTAACATGAGTGCATATTACAAATGGCGCGCGTGCTGCTAAAATGTCGTCGGTCTTGTCTATCTGTGATGCATTTTTCATGTAAGTTATTAATAAGTAACAACATGATTTCGATTGCAATTTGGTGTAAATAAGCACTTATAAGTTTTTCAAAGACTACAAATTGGACAAGCCCTACTGGCTCGTGCAATTTTGTAGTCTTTGAAAAATTCACTCGTGCCTATGAACTTCGAATTGCACTCGAAATCATGTTGTTACTTATACAGACCATGTTAGTTGTAAAATTACATAGGTGATTATGCAAAATAATAAAACCATATAGTTCAACTATCAAGACAGCAATATTTTTTTTATCATCATTATTTTTTATGTTATGTGTAGGTTATCACTCTATGGACCCCAAGTACAAATGAACTGAGAAAGACCCTTGCCTTACCCTACCCTGATGAGGAGATCAAGTAAGACTTCATATTACGTCACATTAGATACGTCATATTACTTGTTCGCACAATTCTTTAGTTTGTTATTAACTCATCTACACTCAATTACATGCGTGTTACACGCACAGGTGTTATGAATGCCACTCGGCCCTTTCGAAGCTCAGAGCAGTTGTCCGTACTTCTCTGAGTCAAATAGGAGCCAAGAAAAACATTTTCTATATGGTCGCTTGGCAGACTTGATTCTATGTCTCTACAGCATTACCCAAGAAAATAACAAAACATCTCTTTCCAGGGAACCTATAAATGTTTATGAAATTCGTATAATGCCTATATGAATTGCATCACACCTGTACGTTGATGATGGCACATGTAGCATTGAATGATTGAGTTGTGTTTGTAAGTTAATGAGGAGAATTTCTAAAGCTGACATTGTGAGAGTAAGCGCTTTCATCGGAGTAAATGGCACAGGGCTAAAGCCCGAAACATTAGTTTTGTAATTCCTGAACGGTGGCTAATGTACTTTATCGACTCAGTTGATCATACCAAATTATCTTACTATAACCCTACTGGAGCAACATCACAGTTTCTTTACAAAATTACCCCCGTATTTTGTGAATCCCATTTTTATGTATTGTTCCCTTTAAAGGCGGATCAAGTTTGGACATAACAGCTCTTCACAGTACTTAGTCTCCATCACCAATCGGTATCTGACTGTGTGGAATCTTCTCTCCTGTACAGGTGAGTAGAAATGTTCAGTTTAATTTTCAGTTGAACGTGGAAAGGAATTCGAGAACTGCATTTGTGTTGCTTTGCTTACCTCAGTAAACACGCAGAATTTCCAATTGAGCGTCGGAAGTAATTCGAGTAATTTTTGGAGTAGTAAATTTTAAATACTCGAAGTTGAATAGAATTATGGGATTCTTTTTTTTTAAGAATTTTGGCGTCAGGCAAGTAGTAAAAATACTCACAGGTCTAATGGACGCCTTCCTTCACCACCACTGAGTATTACACGAAGCGTGTTGCGTGATGATGCCAGAACAACGGCCGCGCAGAAGACTGTGGAAGAGACCGACTAATATTAACTTGTACACTCTGTGATTAATTTGGACAAACAGTCTTTCCACACTGATTATTTGTGTTTTTCTTTTCTTTTAGTTTGGTGGAGTGTGGAAGCCCCTGTGACGTGTTTACTGCCTGATCCACAAACAAATCTGATTTGTGTTTTCGTTTCATTCAACAAGAACAAATCACACTGTAAGTGGGCCTTGTTATCGTCGTTCTGGTTTTAAGATCATCCGTCTGGCGCCATTTATATTCTGAGCAACAAGAACAAGGAAACTTAGAGTTTTGTCTTCACAACAACCAAAGCGTGTTTAAAAGAAGTTGGGAAACAGAGACAAGAAGTAATTACTATTTAACTTTGTTAAAAGCGGCCATATATTTTTTTTGAACTATAGTGTACATTTTCGACCCAGCCTCCCCTCATCCTGTAGCTGTTCAGTCCTCTGTGTCCAGGAGGTCGGATGTGGTGTCAGCGGTCTTCGACAGGGAAAGCGTTTTATGCAGCAACAAAAATGGGAAATCGTTCAAAATGTCGAAACTTTACTTCTTGAATCAGGAGCAGGTATGGGAAAGTTGCCGTAAGTTTATATGGTTTTTATCAGTGTTGAGGAAAAAACTTACAGTTTTTGATTGAGTACCTGATGCAGTTCGGTTTGGCGCGAGAAACCATGACGTTTTTACAAAGTTTGTAAAATTAGCGAACACGTGAGCGATCTACATGTAAAAGCTGTCAAATGCAAGCTATAGGACTTAACGTTACCTTTTTCCATTTCAGAAACTGTTCACATTGGATTTTGATGAATCAGAAGATAAAAAGAGTCCAGTCAAGACACAGGTGAGTAACTGTGAGCCTGTCACCCTCAAGAATGACCAATTCGTAATTTCTCCTTGGAATGTTATAATCAATATCATCACTGTGAAACTTTGTTATTGATCTTAATGATTTTTTTCGGTCACGTCGTTTTCCCTCTATATTTTTGTTTGTTTGTTTGTTTTTTTTGTTTAATTTTTTAAAAGGTTTTAATGTTAAACAGTCGAAATAAAAAAAAAAAACGAGCTCTAATCTTGAATTAAATCAGACATATCGTCAAACCTCCTTTTTCTCCGTAGGAATGGTACGTTGTCCACTTAAAAGTCAGTGCCGCTGTTTCCAATAGAATAAACTACCACATCTGTTCTACCTTTCCTTTCTTTATTTCTATCGAATTGCCGCCTGGCAAAAAGTGGATTTATAGAAGCGAACCGTTTCCACACCCCCACCCCACCCTAATTGAGATCCTTTTATTAAGCTGGTGCTTTAGGCTTTGAGTAATGCTTGACTTTTCCTTTAAACTTACATGAGCCAATCAGTCAATGACGTGATTTTTGACATTGCTTTATTTCAGGAATCTGCTGCGAATCCAGAAGAGCAAACTGAATTCTATAAGATCTTCGGACAGTCAACGAAGAGTAGTAAGTGATGAAGACAGCAGCTGTCTTTCGTGATCTACGGTCTGGTTATCGCCTTCATTCCTACAGCTAATAATCTGCGAATGTATTCTTCGTGGCAATATTTTCCTGTCAAATCCTCGACCGACACTCGTAAATCTCGATTCTCATTCCAGCCATGGACGGCTTCTTTCCACGTTTCATTTTTCTTTGTCTTCTTTTTATCATCACTATTATCATTTTTTGACTTCGTCAATGAAGGTTATCAACTTATCTCTGTTTCAGGAGCGGAGTCCACTTCAGATCACCGCGTCGGTAAAGGTGTCAGGGGAAATCCATCAAGCGCTGTGGTCAGACAGGTTGGTTCGAAGTGTTTTGATTCCAAAATTTAGGCTTCTTAAATATTGCTTACCGTAACGAGCTCGAATGTGGATTTCTTTCTTTGCAGATGCTGCAGACCCCTTCTCATGTTCTTCCTTCAGTTTCCTCTATTTGCTCATCATTTCTGCAGTCACTGTTGGTCAGCAAGCAATCCGCGCCAAGGTAACATTTTCTTTTCAAGGTGACATTTTTCTTTTCCAAGTATATAAGCTGAGTTTCGTTACGCATAGACTGCTGGGAAAAGCGCTGCATACCAAATAACACGTGTAAAAGGATTAAAATCGATGAGCGAAAACAGGCCATGAGGTCTATTTTATGTGGAATTTCGTCTCACTTATTCTGACATGAACATTTGTTTTCTTTATTTTTTCGACTTTCTCAGGGAAGATCAAGATAATGACAAGAATAGTGATGATGAAAACGAAGGTAAGTTTTTCAGGACCTTCACTGAAAATCTGTCACACCTCGTGTGACTTACAGCCCTTAGTGACCACTATAGCGCTTAAATGTCGTAAAACCAAACAATATCAGAGCCGAGTAAAGCAAAATCAGTGCGATTCCAACTACCGTCGACGTTCATTTCAATCCCTTAATTGATTTATTTCTAACTAATAGAGCAATTCTTGTTTTTTTGTTTGTTTTTTAAAATTTTTTTTCTCCTGCAGTTGAAAGTATGGATGAGGATGAAGACAGCGACGTAGAAACAACGCGTGTTGCCGAAGGAGCTTCCGGGCAAGTTCCTGACTCCTCGATGGAAATGACAGACGGTGCTGTTTTGCAAAGCAGGCAACTCAATTCCGGAGAACATTACGCTGATCTTGACAGTGTTAATTTTACCTGGCTAAAAGACTTCTTCGCCTCTTCTTAAGTCAACTTTGTTGTCGCTAACATCAGATGCAGGATATGTGCGTGAATAAAACGAAATAATTATTTCATCAAGGATAAATGAAAGTGAAAAATTAAAACAATACAATTTCCTCAGTGCCGTGTCTCATCTCGAAAGAATGCCCCACAGATGAAGGACAACCATGAGCTCTCTGGAAGAGAAATGTAAATCTTGTACTTTTGTGGGGAGACCCCTTGCAGTGTAAATTAAAACTGAACAGTGTTGAAAATATATTTACTAACAAGGAAAAAAAGTTTTAAAGTATTTTATCAGGGCTCTGGTTTTCAGGGGAATCAGTCGTCGCCAACAGATTACTAGAACGGACTTTGACTGCCGATCAACTGCCAATGAGGGGAGATCATTACAAAGCCTCGGGGGGTGGGAGAAGAAGGAAAATTTTACCGCAAAACATGTTTATGGCGTCCGTGCGCATGTCTCCATTGTACACTTTTTTTGCCTCATTTTATAATAAATGGCTGTATTACTTGATATTTTATGCAAAAGAATTAAGGATAAGGGCTGAAGGCTCCAATAACGAATCTCGTACCCAGATCTTACCGTTTAACTGTAATTGAGCCGCTTGGCCGTGGACGGTGGATTCAAGACTTCCAAATGACAACTTGTACTTCAGAATTCAGCGTAATTGAATGTAACGCAATTAAAATGTGTTTTATTGATCTTTTTCAAAAGCGACAGCAAAACCCAACACCATGACATAATATAACATTCCTTGTGGACCAGTCGTGGCTTTTAACTGAGTTTTCCTTCAACACGACGACCACATTTCTATGAAATATCTCCCCTTAAGTCGATACACAGGTCTAAAAATGTTGACACGAAAAAGTAACGCACCCCCCCTAGTTTAAACACACTTGAAAATACGCTCCCATAAAACAAAAAAAAAATGTCAATTCCAGTCATTTTTTGTAACGCTTCGCTAGTTGTGTTGCTGATCTCCATATGCAAGCAAAGTGTAACCAGCAGGCTTGTCACGTGACCTCTTGAAGATCATCAGCGCGGTACCCACCAATGAAGCGGCGCAAATCACAAGGAGAGTCATCAGAAGGAAAGAACCGGAACCTAATGGGGAGACTGAAGGCATAAATTATGCGCATATGACAAGGTTACCTTACTTAACTTTTTGGTTAATGGGCGACGCGAGCCACAAAAAGAGCTAGAATAATCGATGAATCAACACGTCGAGAAAGATCAGAGACAATTTTGAGGTACTCTTTCGCAACTCACAGCTGGAGACCTTGTTGTCAGGCTAAGAGGGAAATAATTATAGGTTTTTATGTTACTGCTTCAGTACAAATTGAAGAAATCAGTTAAGTATCAGTATGCCATTTTGGGAAACCATCTGAAGGCTGATTTTCACTCTACAACTTAGTCCAATGCGTTCTGCTTTTAAAGTTGTGACAACTTTAGTCGTGCAAAATCGAAAAAGGTTGAAAAGAGGCCTCAAGGTTATAAAATGTATTTCTGTAGAAACCAATCCCCCACAGAGTCCCAGTCCGCGCAGCTATCCTTAAATAGTTTGACATTCGCACGGTTAGGCAAATGACAAAGTGTTTGCTCCAATTGACAAGTGATGTCAAGTAACGTAAAGTTCTTAATGCTGTTTCGCCGTATTCCCGAATCGTCCTCTTTTATCGTTTGTCTCGTATTTCTTCTGTTATTTCTTGTGTGATTTCCATTGTTCTAATTAGTTGTAGTACGTTTGTAACATTTATTTGAGAAATCACTGGCAATTTATCTTTGTGTTACATACCATTTGTTCTGAAGTTATTTGCGCGCTTTTCCTCGCGTTTGTTACGAGCTAGATGAAGAGGACCCTCTGCCAAAAAGTACTTGTCAGTCATTTGACCACCTGCCGCCCGTTTCCCTCGGCCACTCGAAGGACATTTCTGTACGCACTGAGAGTCTGGGTCAGTTGCGTTACATACAGTCACGTGGCAGTGGACAAACACAAACGGATGACCTGCAATAAACTTAAAGGCCTCAAGGCTAAACCGCTGAGCACTGACTGATGGCGCAGAATGGTATTGCACAGTTACGTCATTGGGGCATCTAAAAGACAGGTTTGAAGAAAATAAAATGTCAAGTTTTTGAAGAAGGTAAGGAAAGGTCTCACGTCACAGTGCTGTTCAAAACTTACTGCATAATACTGAGAAGTACTCGCCCGCAGGTCTCAATTCTCAGTTGTGATTTTGATGACCACCTGTGCAATAAAGCCATGAAAAGAAATACCATAACATATAACATACCCTTTCTTTATAAACCCGTACTTTAAGGGGTTAGACTGATCCTGGGTAGGGGTTGCGAAGCATCTGTCAGCAATTATCGACAGCTGCTTGTCATCAGAGGTGACTAACACTTCAAAATACAGACGTTCGCGCAGCACCACACCAATAGGGAAGTCGTCTTTCATGTAAGGACTCACGAATCTGTTGTCAGGGAACATATTCAGCGAAAGTGTGAAGTTTCCTTTGCCTTCATCACTGAACACGAGTTTTCTGTTACTTGGCTTCCAACTGGCAACAGATGATACCACGCCGTACTTGGATAAATAGCAGCTGAATGGTATTTCTATTTCACGTACGCGTGTTATTACGCCCTTGGCAGCCACAGGGATTTCCAACACAGCGTTGGAGTAGACGATAGCTGTAGGTGTAAACCTGCGTGTCGTGTTACAGCCATTCAGTGGAGTCGTTAGGAAAAAATGAGTGTTGGTTTCTCTTGCTCTACAGGTCGTGTCCAGGAGTCGAAGATGCTCACGGTCGAGACCGCGGAGGAGGGACTTGGGGATGACGATGGTCATGTTGTTGCTGTTGCACTCGACGTCAACCCCTGGAGCTGAAACAAAATTTTTTTTCTTGAAATGGGAAAAAAAAAAACTCGAAATTTACTCACCCACCTTATCTCATTTTGATGGACGTGAGCTTTCATTTTACTTTTTAACCTGTCATAGCATGGACTAATGAGTTATAGACCATCCAAATTTCTCAAAAATTTAAAATTCGGGCGATAGGGTGAAGAAAAAAAGTCACTTCTGAAAACACGTTAGATGCCTGACCCTTAAATGTGTGCGTTACTTGCACGATTCCGTTCGCCGACCACTATCGCCTTTGGGGATAAAAAAGGAAAGAATAGCGGAATAACCAAACAAACATTGGTTGCCATGTGAACTTTAATAAACAAACAACAGCTAAACAACAGGGTGAAAAAAAAAAGAAAAAGGAAAGTAAGACAAAGAAAAAAAGAAGGAGTGCCCATTTGTTATCAAGACAGTATACTAACCATGGCATGTTTTGTTATCTGATGATAAGCTTAGCTCTGGGTCTGGACATTCACATTTGTAGCCTCCTGCAGTATTGACGCACTTGTGACTGCAGCCACCATTTGACACAGCACACTCGTTAACATCTGTTGAAAAGGAGGATAAAAAAATACAACGGATGATAACGCACATCTATTTGGTAAAGTTAAGCTTGATCTGAAGAA